CCCCGCCCCCCCCCCCCCCCCCAGTCGCCAGTCACTCCTAGGACCTCAGGTAAATCTTTCATCGCCCCTTCACCTTATTGGACCACACCACCTTGTCCTCTCATCGGCCGGGTATCCAGCGGATACCCAACTCTCTCTCGTGTGGTCAAGATGGGATGGCCTGAGCGATAAACCCGAGACAACGAGGCCTAGATCAAATACACTAAAAAAATTGAATCCCTACCCGTGCCCACACCTAAAACCCACAGTTATACATCTATAGAAGGAACTGATGACATATTTCTCACGTGAATGCGAGGAACTTGCTTTCCGGGTTGTCCCAGTTGTCTTCATGCCATGTAACATCGCCCTGTGACCAAACGGTATGCGTTAATCAATCATCCCATTGGCATTCAAACTATGGAAAATGTGTAAATGCGAGAAGAATTTTACTTTGCCGAGGAAATTTTCATGCTTGAATACGTCGCGTGATTGTCGGAACTTATTCACCTCTGAGAAGAACCTGAAATGGTTCCTCTTCTTTGCATCAAGCTGGATCAAACAAGAAGAGGATTCAACAGTCAGGAGAAATAGATAATAACTACTCTGTGTAACAAAGAAGAAAGTTCCACGAGATGCGACTTGCCTCCTCCCATTGGAAATTGTTAATGGCGGTGTCATGTCCATAGCTGTTGTTGTTACCATAACGAGTATGCCCGTATTCATCCCCCATTAGCATCATTGGGGTTCCCTGATCATTTTTCAAAGTTACAAACTTTCAATCATTGCAAAAACGAGATATCAGTTTAAGATTTTAGCTTAAATTACCTGAGATATCATCAATGCCAAATGAAAATTCTTCATCTGCCGAGTACGCAAAGCTTTGATTTGAGCATCGTTGGTTTCCCCTGTCAAGAAACAAGTATAAAAATCGGGATCTCAGTAACAAGATCTTATGTAAGACCCTAAATTCAGTGCTGTTATGTGAGGTTTAAGATTTCACCTTCGAAACCGCAGTTCCAGCTAAAGTTATCATTACATCCATCGTTTCCTCCTTCTCCATTTGCCTCGTTATGCTACAAAGACAACAAATACATAAACTGCAGAATCATCCAAGCCTCAAATTGATACAATGGAAATGAAATTACCTTAAGATTGTACGAAACAAGATCCCGCAATGTGAATCCATCATGTGCTATCACAAAATTTATACTGTGGTAAGGCTTGCGCTGGTTGACCTATAAACAGGAGACGGAATGTGAATACATCGTAAAACTTCCTCAGAGTTTATTGCAGCTACAACATCTATAAATTCCGTGAAAAAGGTTCCAAGCAACAGTAGTGCTATAATTAGTGACTTCATTTTATGATTCTCACCATGTAAAGATCAGAAGAGCCGGAAACACGGGTAGCAAAACTTCCTTTCACACCAGAGTCACCCTAGAAATATCCATAACATCAGCATGTTTCTGCAATTATTTTTGTCTGTTTGAAGAGAGCATGTCAAATACTACAATAGTGTGTACCTTGATAAATCTTCTAATGTCATCTCGGTACTTTCCATTCCATTCAGCCCACCTGAATACAGAAACCTCGGGAGTCGTATACTTTCAGAACACGTATTGTTGCTAATTGCAGGAGTTCGAGAGGAAACCACTCAAGTATAAGATTTTACAGGCATCAAGTTCAGAATAAGCTTTAATAAAGAAGCTAATAGTTACCTATCCCAATTGGGAAAACTTCCGACGAGATATAATCCCCCGCAATCCCAAGGCTCTGCAATTATTTTACATCTTGACAGAATGGAATCCTTCGCAATTGCCTGGTTGGATATGAAACTTTCAGATAAGCATGTGCAGTGGCAACCATTTAGTCTGATTACATGGAAATGCATGCACAAAGCATATAACTAGAAACCCACCCTTATAAGAGGCGGAGCACTGAGAGGAGATCCATCTATTCCTCGGCAAAGGACACTAGCAAGATCAAAACGGAATCCATCCACATGATATTCCGTGACCCTGCAGTTGGAAAAAAAAAAGGAGAGAACCAGTAGTCATCGAAGAAGGGAAAAAACAAAGCTAAGAGCCATCCATTCAGATAGCTCGCGATACACATCAAGGGATTTGATCATATATAAGTAAGAGTCTTCAATGTATATAGGGTTGTCATGGATTTTGTCCGTTACCAGTGCCTTAAGCTGTTTAGTATAAGCTCCATAACAATAGGATGGTTACAGTTCAGAGTGTTCCCTGCAAACAGGAAACAAGTTATCTAAGGAGATATTGCAGCTAACTGAAAATTAGCTTTGATTGAAAATATGGAATTATTCAAAGTGCTAGCCTCAGAGATATGCTTTAAAGTGGATTACCACAGCCGGAGAAGTTAAGCAATTGACTATTTGAATCAAGCATGTAATAAACCTGCAGAAAAGATTCATGATTTGAAGTTTATAGATTGCAAAAGCAAAATCTGGTGAAAATAAAGATCAGGATTCTTATCACACACCTTATTGTCAATGCCACGAAATGAAGTCGTATAAGGGTGTTTATCATCTGCTTCATTGGTATGATTATAAACAACGTCCAAAATGACCTGCAGAGACAAATTCATTATCAGTGTAAGAAAATACTCTGCTTACTGTGACATCAACACATCACGTAAACTATAAGAGAAAGAAAAGAGATCCTCAAAGGACATATGGCAAGAAAAGGACATTGGATACCTCTATACCAGCAGAATGTAAGGCTTTAACCATTTCTTTGAACTCTTGTGAAGCTTTAACAGGTCCTCCACCACCACACGCATAACGGCTCATCGGAGAAAAGAAGTTAATTGTCGAATAACCCCATGTATTAACCTAGCAAAAGAATATATGTGGAATCACTATTGAAAAAATCAATTCCAACTGAGAGATGAGATTTACATTGATACCACAGCTACAAATGAGATCTCCAACATTCAATACTTGGAAATACAAAAACATGCAAACAGCTAGCTCATGGTCACCATGTGATCTCTAGGGTTAGGGCGCCTCTGAAGCTCCAATTCATCGAACTCAAAGACTGGCAATAATTCCACTGCATTGATTCCCAGATCTAAAAGGTGGGGAATCTTTGAAGAAAAGAAATAAGAGTGAGATATAAAAGTACATGCACATAAACATAAACAGCAAATGTAATTTCTATGCATTACTACCAATGCTGAATAATTTAACATCTTTTACTTCCAACGCTGGTGCTGATTGGAGGGGCATTATATCAAAAATACCATTATTTTGCTATTTTTATTTCAATATATACCTTTCTCCTTAATGTGACCATGTGATCCATATGACCCAAAATACAGTGTGGTCACATTTTGATTTTATTGATTATAACGTTAAATTTATGGTGATCACACTAATTCATTATGTTCATACTTTATATATCTTACTAATTATTTGATTAAAACATCATAAATTTAACATTATGAGTAATGAGATCAACATGTGACTACACTATATTTCGGGTCACATGGTCACAACTGAAAAAAGGTATATGTTGAAGTAAAAATAGCAAAATAAGGGTATTTTTTATAATGGCCCGATTGGAGGTAAGAATGGAGTGTACAACCGTTTCAGCATCTCAATATAGTTTTGAGCTAAAATATAATTACCTTCTCAATGACACCAAGATAACTGCCACGAACATCCGGATCCAACCCACTAGATTCATCAACCGTAAATGCGCGAACATTCATTTCATATATAATAAGATCCTTCTGTAAACAAGTAGCAGAAGATTAAAAGAAATCTTCCAAAATTTTGCCAGAGACCAGAACACTCAAAGAATGCAAATTCTATCATCCAAAGCCAGAAAAAGAAATACATTATTAGTTGTCATGAATGAGATAAATGAAATTTGTACCTCAGGTATGCTAGGGAACTTGTAGTCATCTCCCCATTCGAAAGATGAACTCTCAAAATCATAAGTTCCAAGAAATTTGGCAAACTTCTGGCTGCGATCTCCGAAAAAAGAGCGACCCTGTACTAGCTTTGCATAAGGATCTAAAAGCACAATGCTGCTGTCAAACCGATGCCCTTGTTTCCATTCTCTAGGACCATCAATACGGTAACCGTACAGTACATTGCTCCTAGGCAACTCCTAGCATAATGGGAAGTTCTTCACGAGTTTATATTCAGAGAGAGCAAGTACTCATATAGGAGTGTTTCAATGTCTGATACTACCTCAACACACATGTGCCAAGTATCTCCGGTCTTATTTGTGTTGGGATCCAAAACGAACTCAATCATGCTATCGTCATTGGCATCTTCCTTGCTCCTGGAAAATAAATTGCTAAGATCAAAACAGCATCAAATAAGCACGAGAAAGAAACAAAATAAATTGGCAAGATCAAAACAACATTGAACAAGTATCAGGAAATATAGAAAGAAAAAGTTCAAGTACAGTAATCAAAACACTATATGGATAGTATGAACTGTCAAAACAATAAGGCTAAACCAGCTCACTACAGAAAAAAAAAAGTTGCATCGAAAAACGACGTAAATCCATTTGAAAAGAAAACGTAAACATATCCAATGGAATTGCCTTCATTGTCAGTTACACAAACCAATCAACTAAGTACCAGAGGAAAGAAAACACATTTGATACCTCTTGGGAAGTGATAAGCAGAGTGTCACAGAAGTGGCATTCTGAGAAAACAGGGCAAAGTTTATCCCGTTGCCAACTTCCGACACACCAAGAGGAAGTGCCTGACCAGGAGAAACAATGAAGGGTTGTCTGGTCTCAGCCATTGGAGATGCTTCTTCCTAGAATTACACAGAAGCATCCATCAAATCCATGTCCAAGGTTTCATAAACACGTACTCCAACGGGTTGATCAAAACTTTACCTCCACCACAGGTTCTTGAGCTTGACGAGAATATACCTTAAGTGTCGGACGGTCCCTAATCTACCTACGATGAAACAATTCAGATCATATAATTCGGTTCCTGACATAGACCACGAAACCAGAAAATGGGACTGAGAAATCTGAACAAGACTCGCCTTACGGGAGAAAACTCGACCATCGACAGCTCCAGTCACCTTCCTGCTTATTTTCAATCTACAAGGCCGGATCACAAGAAAAAATGAATCAGAATTTGAAGTCGAGATTCAAAATTTGAAAGGAAAAAAAAAAACAGAGGAACAAAGGGAAGAGAGCGGAAAATAACTCACCCCATCGGAAGGACGCCGGAGAAGGAGGAGAGTGACGGAGGAAGTGTACGGAACTCAGCGGAGCAGGAGGAAGGAGAAGGAGAGATAAGAAGCATCTTTCATCCACTTCTTCTTAGATGATCGGATCTTCGAATCCTGCTTTTTCACTGTTTCAAACTGAGATTCTTCGCTCTGTTTTGGAGCGAAAGAGAGAGAGAAAGGGTTTTCTTAGGGAGTAGCAACGATGAGTTTCGATCAGGTCATCCCGGTGTCTGCCACGTGAACGGAAGCGCGACTCCCGTGGATTTGCATTATTGCTTTTTCTCGAAGATTTTCTCGGCTTTGTCATTTTCCCGGGAAAATATCTTTCATATCTTATTATTTGGACTATTTACTTGAAAAATCCGATTTAATCTGAATCCAAATCCGTAAATCCGATTCCTGCCATTAACAACCGGCAAGGAGCTTTAAAAAAACAAACAATTCCTATCAAAACCACCAGTCCCATCCGCAAATGACAGCCTTTCCCGACTGTCGGTAAAATTTCCTGGGCTTTTACAAAGAAAATTCATCAAATGATGTATACATACATTCACCAAGGAAACCAGGCATAGGAAACTGTAGCATCGAGGATTCAACGCATATAAGTATATATGTCCCTTGTGGAATGTTGCCCTTTGCCTCTTCTTTTGAATGCCCAACTTAATGTAACTCACCAGCAATGTGGAATGCTTCTTCATGTGTATAAGCCCATCAACCTTTCTAAGTTTGGACGGAGATGGACATGGAAAGAACAATAGACTCGAATCGAGGTTTACCTTTGCTCGTTCATTCAGCGTTGATCTCTTAAAAGGGAAGGAAATGAAATAAGAGGACAGAGAGGCGGGCCGAAAGGGCAACGCAGATGAAATCGGGATGAATCTCTTGCGGGAATATCTACTTCGGGGCAAGGGATGCAGATGCTGAAGCTGCTTCTGCTATCAAGGCTACTGGTTGTCGAGCCTGCAAGCAAGCACCTATCTCGAATGGTCGCAACTCTGAACCGTCGTACAGAAGGTTGAGGCCTGGAAGAATCACTTCTCGGCTGTCTGCTTCATCGGAATCCACTTTTGTTGTACTTGCGGGTGTACTCTCGTCAATGGGTCTAGTGGCAGCTTCATATACAGGGGTCAAGGCATAGGATCTGCAAGCATCGTTCAAGAAGAAAAAAAATCCAGATTATAAATGAGAATATGAAATTATGTCTGCAAAAAATGGGTCAATTTCCCATCCGTTATCTCTTTTGAAGAAAGTTTTGCTCCAGCGGAAACATCTCAAGACAACCTCAAAACATAATGGAAAATCTATACGTATATGTACGCCGCATTGTTTACTGTTATCCCCCGTCCCATTTTCCATTTCAAGTGATTCCTTTACTTTTGCCTACTTTTCTACTTTAATTTGGGTTTTAACACAATATGCAGACAAAGACGTGAGCTATATACAGCAAAGGGCAAAAAGAGGATAAGGAGAAACCAAGATGGAAAAATGTAGGAAATTAAACTAACCTAAGGATGCTGCCATCAAAGCTCAGAACTTCAGTCCGGCAACGTTGGCGATTTGCTAGTTTCAACCTCTGATACTCGCTCATGGCTCCTGAAATAGGTGAAGAAGGATCCACAAGAGGGTTCCACCTTCCACTTGCATAATTCATAAGCTTTCGGGAATTGTCCTTTGCTTGTTCTTTCTGGTAAAGAAGTTTGGCAACTGGACCTGTTGCTTGGTACTGTGCACAGATATCTCTCAGCCTTTTCCTTAGGCATTGCATTGCATCGTGTTGTTCCGTAAGCGAATCTGCTTGAAGTAGCTCTGACGACACGATCCTTTTACAAATAATGTTGCATAGCTTCGGACTGAAAAGTGGCACACCAAACTCCACGCTTAAAGGGACCCATTCATACTTCTCATCATCCGAGGAAAAGTAATCTGACTCTCTTTCTTTGAAGAGTTTCAGTAAGCGAATATACCCAACTGTCCACAATTCCATGTTATTCGCCAGATTAGTCAAGAGAGAGTTTAACTTAGTATGTTCCTCAGGGGGGAGTCCCAATTCATCGCCAAAATGAGGAATGGAACCATCAGAATTCTTCAGCGGTAACGGTATATCCAAAGTAACGACTCTCCCAGAGTCATCAAGATCATACTTGCTAAGAGGTTGAACCAGCACGGCTGAGCATTTGAGGAGGGAATTCAAACAGTGCAACAGTATATTTCCCTTCACCAAGTTCCCCTCAAATTTGTTACCCAAACCTCCAACCGAAGATCCATCCCATGACCAAATGAGGGCTTTCTCACAACCAGCTAGCGGAGCGGGAAGCATACGTAGACATTGCCCTTTCATCAAAATAACTGATAAAGGCCCAGTGCCCACAGTTGAATACAGTACCAGTTTCATCCATTGCGTCATTGATGAATGGGAAGGGGGGCCGAAATGAATGGGGCCTGAAGGACCAGGAAGGACAGATGTAAGTGGAAGAGGAACCATTGAAACAACAATATCATAGTCACGGCTGAATAGCCTATCCAGAGTAGCAAGTGATAGAGAAGCCAAACTTTCACAACGGAGAATATCCACACGATATCTCTTCCTCTTTCTCTTGTTTCCTTTTGTGGTGTCAAGCCCCTCGATTGGGATTGCCTTCCCATCGCTCTGTAGGGTTGAGTCAGATCTAGAGACCTCAGAGTCAGATCTAGAGACTTCAGATACGGCAGCAGCATCGACAGATGGTGCAGTAGAAGCTGTTTCATTTTCAGTATTTTCAGGAGCTGACTCTGTTGACATGAGATCCTTTTGAGGGGCATCTGAATCCATGGAAGCCTCACTATTGTGGCTAGCTGTGCCCCTTAAAGTATCTCCAGAATTATCAGTCAAACTAACATCGGCCAGAAGAGTGATAGCTTCATCATTGCTTAAAGATCCAGAACCCATCTTATCAACTGTTGTATCAGTAGAGACTCCACCAGATATTAAACATTCCAGGACACAGCGAAGGCTGAAGGCATGATTAGCGAATTCCTGAAGTTCACCCTCAAATTTTGCTCCCTCTAATGTGCTCAAATCCTGACAAAGGTCCGGAATGCTGGCATGACCAAGTTTTCCCGCTTCATAGAGTGTTACAGCATGAGATTTCAAACCTACAAAGAAACATGAATGGTTGAAAAACATTAGAAGAGTATGGAAACCTGGTTCCTTTACAAGGACATTTATTTGGGCTGTGAAAATTTAGAATTTTGAGGTCCAATAGCATTACAAAACAATACCTGGTGAAACAGAGCCCATCATTAGATAGGATGTTATGTTAGCATCCACTATGAAAGCAACCCGAACATGACTGGAATGTGATCCAGCATTTTCCGTCCCTAGATTATCTTCATGTTGAGGAGCCTCACCATCGGCAGATGTGTACGCAGAGCTTACACTAGCACGAGATGCTTCTTCTTCTTCAGTAAGAATGGCTCGTGGAGATCCAGGCATAGCCTTGTCGTGAAGTACAGAAGCTGGATCGATTAATTTTACAGCCCATCCCAACCGGCAAACGAAAGATGCAGCAGCTTGTAATTGAGCAAGATCAGCTTGCAAAGTGGATGCCAGCTCTGCTACAGTTGAGTTTTCATTTGAAACAACAAAAACTGCATAGAGTAGCCTGCAAAAATGTAGTGAGCATTACATAAAGTTAAGAGTAGATTAAAATCCTAAGCAAGAGTAAAGATTCCATGTGGCACAGTAGCTTCCTTACTCCTCGATAGGATCTTCATAAGACTGTTCCCTGTTGGAAATGAACCCCTCAAGCTTTGAAACTGAAATATCCAAAGGCAAATTCAGAGCTGAAACAAAGAAGGCAAAGGCCATGTGTCTACAGCCCACACTCACTGAAGTCTTCCAATCTCTCAATAGACAAAACTAGAATATAACAGATTATCTAAGAGCTTTGATATATGGGTTGTGAGTAAATACTTTATCGGGGAAGACCCAAATTAAAATGAAACACTGTATTGGCAAGATGATCAAGAATTTGGTAACATGAAGAGCCAGCTATTACTCTTTTCTTGAAGTCTTATGCCATGCAGTTGGATTTCTCAGACAAAACAACAACATTCTCCAGCACCAAAATACATAGAAGTGACTACAAACAAAAAGTATATATCAGTGAGCACAAACAACTCACCTTTAAAACGGTCATCTGGATAGACAGGAACATCAAAGTATATCAATCCTCTATGATAGAGCCCTTTAATGATTTCGGGATCAAAGAGGATATAGGCATTAGCTTCCTCCTTGCAGATTTTATCTATTGTTGCCGTCTCTTCTTCTGAGAGTTTCTATGCAAAAAATGAGAAAAATAAACTCGGTTAATAGGACAGGGAAGAGCTGGATGATTATGGGAACTCACTAGTAATGTGTCAAATTTGTTTTAAGATAAAAAAGAGTATTAAAGGATAGCTTAAAATCACCTTAAATTCTTCTATGGTGAAGTTGACAAGGCAAACTCCCCACCAAGGCTCAATCGGGAAATCTACAGGTTGGGTAGGTAAGAATTCTTTTGCGATCGATTTGTTCAGCTTCCACATTATTTTCTGGACAGCTCAAGATAGGTAAGAAAAGGGTAAGAACATAACAGAGGCTACAACATCTCCATTTATAGACTTGAGACAGTGTACAGATTCCAACAACAAAAAATCTTTTTTAGCAGAAATATGGTGCCAGAAATGAACCAAACCTAAATGCCAGCCAGAATTTTTTGAACTTTGATTATCCAACATTCCAGGAACAGGTTCTCTGGTTTGGTAGTCAAAGCAAAAGGAAAATCACAAAGTATGACGTCAAAAGATTCTAGGAATATAAAACACAACGAGTACCTTAGATTTGCATTTGTTCATGATGTCAATAAATTCATTTCTCCCTATTCCAGTAAGCCGCAAAGCATCAGCCGCACTGAAATTCGGGATACTGTCGTAAGGTTGCTCTGTGCCAAATCAAAGGGAATGAGGATAACTAAATAGCTAGCTAGAACTTCAAAGTAAGCAAAAGATTGAAGTAAAACAACAATTTTACCATTTCTCATGACTTCAAATATCATATCACAGTAATATCTGAAGGGTGATATCCTCATCACACGGCATACATACTCCGCAAGATGATAAGGAAACAGCTGCAAGTAATTTTAACTGACAATTAAGCCAAACTGAACTTCTGAGAAATAACAGAGTTACAGAAAACCATCTGCTATTCTTCAGCCTTTCATCTAGGTTGTGAAGCAGTTCTTTCAGCATATCACAAGATAAAATTCGTGCAAATTTTTGTCACAGATGATAGCATCTAGAATTTATCAAGCCTAGAATTTTACATCCTCTCTATAATATGCAGGGTCATCAATGTTTATTTCTAAAGGATGAATCAACCATTAACACAAAATAAAAGAAGATGAAGGTGTCGACAGAAACAGAGAGAGGCAAAAGCTGAGAGATTCGTTTCGAACTCTACACTAAGAATATAACTAAAAATAAACATCTTGATACAACACGCACCGCCAGATTCTTTCGCAAGTAACGCATCATCTCTTCATAATATTCACCTTCTTTGCAAACTTTACGAGCAAAACACACATTCCATTGGAGCCTTTTCTTAATACAATGTTCAGTGACCCTGCATAAAAGCATCAACAAAGGTGAAATATAACAATCCTATAGAGCATATCAACACCAATACAAAGCAATCAGTATTGTGATCATGAAAGACATGAGGAAACTTCCATGTTTAGAGAGACATAAAACAGACCGCAAGCTCTCTAGTCTCTAACCATGACTCTAGCAAAACCAAAACAGGCAAAAACAGTAAGACAGACTGACCTTCTATGCCATTCTTCCTTAGAACCAAGAGTAGCCTGAAACCGTTTCGGGAGATTCTCCCACGGGCATTCTTCTTTGATGGCTTTCAGCATTAACTGGTCCTCTATTGTAACTTGAGAGTGCTGCATCTTCCCCAAATTCCCTGGGTTCCATATGATCATTAGATGTCGAATTTGAATCTACAGAAGGTCACATTGCTCGAACAACAAAAACATAAATAAACAAGTGAATGGACTTTATAGAACTGGACTAGCTAACAAGCTTTTGAAACCAAAGTTACAACCGCAGGAAGCAGCAGTAGATGCAATCTAGAAGAAGTTCAATCTGACAGAGGAACAGTGAACCAAGTCGTCCCACCGACAACATCTCCAACATTCTAGATCAATCTTTCAGACAAAACAGAAGCATTTCCGTCAAAAACCTTACTGAACAAACTCAAACAACATAGCTGAAACTGAAAATTCAAGCGCAGCGACGAAACCCAGCCCAGCTTCCACACATCGTTCTACTGAGAGAATTTCAAAATAAAAAGAGACAGGCGACTAAAACGCACGCGATCTCGCATTCCCGATTCGTAACACCGACCAAATCAAACGAAGAAAGAATCGAGGAATCAGAAATCGGAGATCGGAGGATGTACCTGAGTACGGAGGCGATGTCGAGAGGAGCTGGGATCGATCGGAGCCTCGCAAGATCTGAAGAGAAAGCAAAAACGGAGACCGTACTGACGTAGGTCTCTTAACGCGGAGACATGGACGCCATTATTACGGTTGTTGAGGGGATTTGAAGGAGAAAGACGAGCTCGGGCAATGACCGTTTCCAAACGCAGGAAAGCGAGAGAAATTAGTAAAAGGAAAAACAAAAACACCACAAAGAAGAAGAAAAAGAAGGTCAGTTCCGTACGCACCCACGGACCGAACGCGAACGCGGCGGAGACGTGCCCTTTTTCGGGCAAGGGAAAGCCTCTGCCGCACTCAGAAGGTTTTCGTTGGTACGTGAACAAACAAAACCTGACCCGAATCAAATTCGGTTTAAGTTGAATCATACTTGACTTAACCGGAGCTAAATCTAAACCGATGAGAACTAATAAAATGTTATGAAAGCGAAGATTTGAAATTGAATAACCCAAATCCAATAGAAAGCGGATTGAATCTGAAATGAAAACACATCCAAATAAAAAGATTAAAAACGGTTTGCATACTCATTAGTTAATCTTGTAATCCCTTGGTGTAGAGGAGTGGACATATTTATATCATCGTTCTATCATGGTATGATGATACAGTTATAACGTTTTCCTTGGTTCATACATGAACATACATTTAAAAGTTTTTAGATATAGGCATTTCATCTACACATATCCGATGAGGCGGTTCAATAAAAATTTTTACTTTGAATCATATATATGCATCTGTGATACAATTTTGTTCGGCGTATACACAAAACGATCATTAAGAATCTACATATTATATATTGTATTGTACATGGAAACATATATATATATATATATATATATATATATATATAGTAAATGTTGATTGTACACGTTTTCTTCTAAATGCGGCAGATAATAAGAACGTAATGTGACTCGGTTCATGCAATGGTTGTAGGAAAAAACAGGAGGTTGGCAAATGTCGAGGTTTCTCCGTACGTACGTCGACATAACAAACCATGTTTGGTCGCAAATATCTATGTTCATTGTTCCATCTTCTTGCCAATCTCAGTATCTAACGCGGTTTTGATATTACTAAATCAAGTTGGTTATTTTATTTATTTATTTGCACTAAGCAAATCCAGCTAAACATATTAGGGTTTTCTCCGAAAACAAGTAAGTTGAAGATCATTATGTGCTTACTTAGCATTGACTTGAGATGGAAAGGAGAAAATTATTACATGCATACGAGTTGTTCTTATACGAATCTATTATTTGAATATATATATATATATATAATTGGTAATATATAATATTAATTTTATATAAATAAATAAATAAATAAATAATAATCTTATCATTCCATACACTCTTCTCTTCTCCGCCATTGAAATGATATCAGTTTTTACGTCCTATATGGTCCGCCATGGGAATTTATTTAATTTAGAAACATGTTTTCCAGCGTGGTCCGTTTTGTTCTATGGGGCCTCATCGTTATGAAATCACGAATAATGTGGATCCACTGTGACGGAACTGTACATCTATACATAGCCAGGTTATAGGTTTTGATAATTTTGATGTTGAATATTTTGGGTACACGTTTTCTATACCCACACGTAATTTTGGTACAATTGTGGATATATATATATTTTGTATTGTATTATTTTACAATGGTTTAACATTGCCAATTAATTATTTTAAAAAATGTGATAAATTCTAAGTCAACAAAATCAGCCACTTTGTCCATCTAAGCCTTTTTTTTTCTTCTCCATCGTGTCCTGCCTTTTTCATATTTCAGAGGAAAAAGAACCAACAAAAAAAAAAAGGGTAAAAACGAAAGCTGCTCTCCTTGTAGGGTTCTACTTTCTGCATTGTCCCAAAGTCTACATCTCTCTCTCTCTCTCTCTCTCTCTCTCTCTCTC